TAGAAACAAACAAATAACTTTAATCATAATCATCATTATTATTATTGCATATCAACTGATCAGAAAAATGCACTATTTTATCGAATATGGTTTTTTTTTTTCTTGTTTTTGTCTTTCACTTCAGAGAAACTATTGTCAATACCAAAAAATAGTATGTTTAATAGCAAGCATGGGAATTCCAACAGGTGTTGGATATATACATTATAGAGCTATTTAGTTTTCTTTTATATGTGTTTTTATCAATATGCTGTCACGCTTTCAAAGACTGAAAAAACATTTTGTGAAAACAAGAAATAAAAATAAATAGTTCAAATTTTATTCTTGAACAAATTAAAAATTGAAGTCAATTAATGTGTTAACCTTTGATTTTATTATATTTATTATTGACAAACAGACATAGAGGGAATTGAGTCTAATTGAAAATTGTCATACTTATTATAGCGTTGTTTCTTAAACACGCTAAATATTGCCATTGTTAGAAAGAAAAACAAATCATAATTTAACCTACATTTTAAGAAGAAAAGTAGTTTTCTTTTTTTTTTGCACTTCTTAACACGTGAATGTAACAGTCATTTTCTAGAACTATCTAGAATCAATAGCCATCATTGTGATTGAATAGGTAGTGATAGTGTTTCTCTTTCCATTGATGATGCATTATAATTAGAAACGATGGAAGAATTCTTTTTTTGTAATGTTTAAAAAAAAACTCAGTAATACATTGAAATGAATACAACTAAATTGTAATTGATGTTGTTATTCAATGTAAAACAAAAGTAACAGTTAATTCATTTTTTCAGTTCTATATAAAGAAATCACTTCTTACCTACTACAGAGTTGTATGATATTTAATAAATGGATTTCAAATAGATTTATCAGCTTGAACTTTCATGCATCAGTAATTTCTCGTTTTTCTTTTTTTTTTTTATATCAACAAAAAACTAAATAACAGAATTCACAACGTATAGTGTACTAGAATCTTGTCGAAACTAAAAATTGTAGAGTAAATCTTTCTACATCAAATAAGATGTTAAAGAAGTTTTAGAGAACTCATAGTTTTGTATTACAATAGATCCTCAATGGATATTGAATTCGAAATTTTTTGTTAGCATTGTACATACAATTACTATCAATGCTGAATTGTGAACGCTTTAACATGATACAAAACCCATTTGGAAAGTTAATTTTAGAGCTTTATAAGTTCAAAAATCAACCTGATCTTAGTCTTTTAAGATTTTCAACACAAAACTTTGAAAAAAGAAGATATATTCTGATGTATAATGGGCTAAACCAGCAAAAATGCGACATTCATCGGTTGTATTTGAATGCAACTCTATATCAGTATAAGTTTTTTGACTAAATTGTTTTTGCATAGGCTTATGTAAAATTCTCTGCTCTTTCACATAGGTATTAATTAATTAATTAATAATTAACTAATTGAGAAGTAATTAGTGAATATCTCGATAACTGAATAACGAAAAAACTTGGAAACGTCAGGATAGGCTCTAGGGTATGAGCCGCATATATGGTAAAACTTTCAGCGAGATCGGACTTCAAAAATTTTCTTCCGAAAAATCGACCTTTCAGAGCCTTTAGACAGAACTGAAACGAAAACGTTTTGTCTTAGTATTATTCTAAGGACTCCTACCATTGGCATGAGTCTCTTGGAATCTATTTTGAACTTTTCAGTTCGCTACCAGAGCATTTGATCGGTAGTGAAGTTGTGCTCAGTCACGTCGCTAACGCTGAATAAATTTTATTTTTTGAAAAACCTAGACATGCTCAAAATAATTTTACACCGGGATTTGGTAGTCTTAGGAGTTGTGTCTAGTATCACGCATTAAGTTTTCGGTGATTGTGCAACACTTGGAAATTTTTAAAACTCAAAGTATATCAAGTGATAGTTGATGTACTTTTTGATGTCACGTCGTTAACGCTAGTTTTTCGTTAATAACTCGTCTGAACACAGCTCTAGAGTGTTGATTTTGTCATGGTATTTATAGTAAATAGAAACTCGTACGACATGCAAAAATCACACCTAAACTAGCTGATAATTCCGAGATATGCATTCTCTAAGTTTGAGATATCACGTCGCTAATGAATGGTTTAGCCCATATACAAATTAAAAGTTCTAATTTTGGAGAAATCAGTTAATTAAGAAAGGTCTTCTGTTACATCCGGCGTATCGTTTCCTCAGAAAAGTCTTCTATTTCTGGAAGGAGTTTACATCATACAGATGTTCTTGACATTTTTAACCTTGTGAACAACTGTGTATTCTGCTTTCACATGTACGCAAGATCTTCAATATTTACTTCCAATGCATACTGAACAGAAATAATCGAGTCAATCATGTTGAACAATAAATTAAACATCAGAGAAATTTTTTTTTTTTTGTCAATTTATAAATAAATAATTTTCTATCCTTTATATACTTCGTTTCTTTTTCAATTCTATTACAATGAGCAAATGTCGTCATGAGAAATAATGTGAAGTATATATTGCACAACTCACATGACAACGAGCGAAGAAACGAATTTCAATTAATTATTTATCTTAAACAAATATTTAATGCCTTAAGAACTAGCATATTTATTTTTACTCAGATAATTCTTCGTTTCTTTTTCTGTACTATATGCATGCTTCTATAAATAGGACTCTTCTTTTTTTTTTAAAGTCATGTATGAGTCAGATATTGTGAAATTAAAAATTTATTCATTGAAAAAATGCAACAGGCGAATTATTACTCAAGACCTAATCAAAATATAGAATTGTAAATTACTCTCATATATAAATATATTGTATGACGAGTGCTATTTAAATGATAAGTTACAGTCATCAAAATACGATAGAATGTCATGCACGTCAATGTAATTAATCACAAAAGTCTTTTTAAACTAGCATTTGGAAAAAAAAAGAAAAATTACATCATTCTCATGATGATTTAAACTAGAGAAAAAATTCTCAAGGCAAAGAAAAGTTTAATATAAACAAAAAACAAATCGATATTTATCAACTTTAGATATAATGATAACATATCCGTATTTACTTTCAATAGATTTTTGATTGATATCTTTTATGATGTTTTTTTTTTTTCTAACAAAAGAAGAATATTCTTTTGTAAATCTATTGATAATTTTTGTCGACCATCAAGTTGTCGCAATGTAACATATCAGTCTAAATCGTACTATTCACATGCGTATGAAAACATCAAATACGTCTGTTGCCATATATAACAATTACCAACAATCATTATGTTTTTTCCTTGATTTTATGCACCAGATTTTGATCGTTAACACAAAAAAAAAAATTCTTTCTTTTTTTTTTTTTTGAATATCATGGAGTGTACAATTATCGACTTTCAATTGTGTGAATATGCCGCTCAGCAGTGATAAGATGAAGACAATACAAGTTAGAAATATTGGTCTTGTTACTCTGTCAAGAGTGCAATTCTAATGAGTAGTACGCCAAGTGTACAGCAACAACGAACTAATTGAATGTCGAGAATATATCTGAACGGTAGCATACTAGCTGTCAATATAATATTGAAGTTCGATTTGCATGCTGAGATCAAAGAAGTAAATATGGATATTGCATAAACCAATAGCAATAATCAATATAGATAATATCTTGGATTATATGTGTGTATGTATGTAAGCTGGTAGTTACAATTTTCTCTCTCTTTTGCTTTTTTTTTCCTATGCGTACACTTATTCTCATTCTCTTGATCCTGTGAATGAGCATGAGTGTGCCTTTGTACAATAATACTTTATCTTAACTTTTACGAGTCACACACAACACATGGTCGGTGCCGAACAATCATTCGCATATATTCGTTCGTTTCTTCATTTTCTTTTTTAATTCTCTTCGCCAAGTCAAGGTCTTCTCTACTTTCAATTTTCTATCATACATATCTATTAAGTTCAATTATCGACTAAGCATAAGTCTTATCTACACAGATACGTTTGTATATATATATATATATTGATCTATCGCAGGCTTGAAAAAAGAAAATTGAAAAATTGTAATTACACCATCAGTACTTCAACTTTCTGTTTTTTTTCTGACGCACACATATACACTCACATAGTCATTGTAACAGGGCGAGTGTGTGTGTGTGTGTGTGACAGAGAGACTCAAAGAAAAAAAAAAGGTAGAGAAGTGGTGAACTTTGTCTGAGAAAAAAAAACGAAGAAAAAAACCGCCGACCTCCTACTACCGTCATGCAAATGCACACAATACTAATTGTACAAGGAGAAATGAAACAAAGAAAGAAGACAGACACAAGGAAAGGTACTAGACCACACATATATATATTTATATATATATATATATATACATTCAGCATCATGGTATAGCTCGTTTCTCTTCCGGTCATAAGTAACGTCGACTCTGGAAAAAAAAAGAGAACAGAAAAAAAAAAGATTATTGACCGGTACCTGTAAGGAAAAATGCCAAGAAGAGAATGAATGACAGGAAGGAAAGAAAGAATGAATTTTATATATAACCATACGTTACAAATGGATACTACAAGTTTGCATCTCATCTTCGTTTACCCTCGATTTGCCTTCTTTTTTTTTTATTCTATAAAAAATCTAACGTGAAAGAAAGAGAAAGCGGTCCTTTATTCATTCATCGGAGAATTTCACTAGTACATACTACGACTACTATAACTACAATTACTATGACTCGTTTCATGCCCGTTTTATTCCATTCTTCCAATATTGTATTCGTCGTGACGTTTACTCTGTCTGTTCTGTTCTTTCTTCTCTCTGGTATTCTCGACTCTTAACTACTACTATACGCTACGCACGCATAATAATATCTACATTCTATACACATACACACACGTTTTTCATCTTCTCATCTTACAACACGCTTGGTTGTGCATTCGTTTTTTGTTGTTGATGTTATTATTATTTTTTTTTTCTTTTTTAAAGAAAGAAGAACCAAAAAAAGAAAAGAAGAATATATATTAATCTTAATTTTTTTAGATAAATATAGTAATGCCAAGTGTTGATTCAAATTCATCTTATTCATCATCCGATTCATCAACTTCGTCTCTATCATCTCCACGCATACTTCTAACTGATATAAGACAACAACAACAACAACAACAACAACAAGCAATACAATACGATCAACAACATCAAATGAGAACTACAAATAGTAGTACATCACAAATAACTTCATCACATATATGTGTAACACGTTATAAAACAGAATTATGTCGACCATTTACAGAAACTGGAAAATGTAAATATGGTGATAAATGTCAATTTTCACATGGAATTAAAGAATTAAGAATATTAATGCGTCATCCAAAATATAAAACTGAATATTGTCGAACATTTCATACAAGTAAAAACAAACAAATGAATTTTTCTTTTATTATATAAATATTATTTTATTATTTAGCTGGTTATTGTCCATATGGTCCTCGATGTCATTTTATTCATGATATTCATGAAGCACGAACAACGGCAAATATCAATGATACAACAATGCGACGACATTCCGATGTACGAACTAATCAATTTATACAAAAATCAACGACTAGGTATTTCAATTCGGGTTTTTTTTTAATTAACAACAAAAAAAGAAAGAAAACTGATTTTCTTTTTGCTGTTTTTATTTTCAATAGAAATCGTATTACCAGTGATTATACACCATTATCTCCTTCTCATATAATAACTAATTCAAATTCATCAAAAACTCCTTTTTCATTTCAAGAAATTAATCGAGCTTTACTTTCCTATGAAAATAATAGTGATCTAATTCAACAGCAATATCAACAACAGCAACAACAGCAAAAACAAGAATTTTATTCATCTATATTATCAACAATGACAAACTCATTAACACATCGTACATTTTCATCATCATCATCATCGAACAGCAGTTTAGCTCCACAGTATGTTTAAGCTCGTCTGCAGCAGGTTTTTTTTCTGTTTTCATTCACCGTCCGTTCGTTTGCTCTCGTGCTCTATTATACATAAATTATATACATACAGATATATATTGCTCTTTGTTTCAAACTTTTTCTCACGTTTTTTTTTTTTACTATTTCATTCATACAATATTACATACGGTGCTTGTTACTACCATTGTCTGGCTAATGCATATCTTATCAGACATATGATACTTTGCACAACATTTTCAAGTTTTTATTTATGTCAAAAAACAGCAAACATCGGACGTGTTTGTATGTCTAAAATAAGAATGATAGTCATTTGTGTTGAAAAAAAAGAAATGACTAATACATCACAAGTAATAATAATAAAACTTTCTAGCAAATATTTGTCTGCAAGTCAATAAAAGGATATAACTATGTATTCAATTAAATAGATATATTTTATGATAATAATTTAACCCATTGGCTATCTTTATTTAGAAATGAAAAAAATACTTCAAAACTGTGAAAAGAAAACTGTTCGATTTTATTGTTTCATATGTTTTGTAGCCTACAGCAAGTTTTTATTGACACTTCTTTTCTTTTTAACACTATCGTGAATGAATACGCACATATAGACACATATATACTATTCTTTTCTTTTTTCATTTTTTTTTTCGCATCTCATCTGCCCTATTCTTCTTTGTATGATGTACTTATTCATAAGAAGAATTGATGATTGATAGAGTAATGTTTTTGCTTGAGGTGTACATGTATATATTCGATTGAAACGTGTCCTCAGTATTGAGATCTGTACATTGGAAAGGTGATGAAAGGCAAACAACATCATGCAAGCAACCCATATGCATGCACATATACATAGTGCATTTTTATTCCATCACACTTCATATTTCAAGGGTTTCGTCTTTCGTTTTTTTTTTCTTTTCTTCAAAACTTTATTAGATGTGTTCAGAACTAGAAATAGAAGATTTCAAGATGGCATCTATTCTTTCATTGATGTTTATCTTATAAATGGGTGTCGTATAATGTAAACATTCATGATGTATGTGTCATTGACGTTTTACAAATATCGTCAAAAAGCTGAAAACTATCTTATGACAAAAAAAAAAGGATATATCGAGCTGTTCATTAATATACAGAAAAATTATTCGATACGATCATAATTATGATAAAAACCTTCATATTGTCCTTGAAAAAATATATTCGTTCAGCCGATTCATTCATCAATTAATATGAATTAATCAGACAAGTATAGAAAAAAAAAGAACGTGACGTAGATATCAAATGTGAAAGAAAAAAATAAACTTATCAACAATGTATCTGAGCCTAGACAGGCAAATATTCTGCGTAGATCATAAACTTTGTATCTATACACAATAAGAGATTGTAAACTTTTATGACAGATTTTCTACTAATGATAATGATGATGATGAGTGTGTATCGATGAGAATATAGTATTTACATTTTCTTCTATATATATATATATATATATATATATATATATATATAATGATGATAATTATACAATAACCAAAAACAAAAAAAAAAGGTCTCAATGACTATGTGAGATATGCAAAGGGTATTAAGTGCAATTGAGAATTTAAATAAAGATTGTATGATAAAAAGAAGAAACGGCACGTGTCTAGAATATTGAATATGTGGTTATACGCATGACTAGTTGATTTGTAGTGATGCATAATAATTATTCTGAAAAGAAATTATATAATCAACTCAATTTTATACATTATAAGCATATCTTCTCTTTTTTTTTCTCAATTACATAAAACATGTGCGCCTTTGTTTGTCGGATTTATTACGTTCTTGTGCTGAAATTGAGCTATGCCAATAGGAAATTTCTAAGAATTTAATCGTAGCAATAAGCTATTTGAGCGTTCTGTAGAAATGAGTAGAATCAAGTAAGTGGAAACTTTTCTTTCATAAATGTCAATGAAAGGATGCATGAACTGTAAAAAAAAAAGCCTAACCTTATTTGTATGCATTCCATTAGAAATGGATAGAAAAAGCTTTTCTCACTAGTATAGTTGAATAATAAGACGACTAATTACAAGAACAATATTGTATATACAATTATAGATAAATATAGGAAAGAAAAATTTTTGGAACTAAAAACGATCAATATAGTTTTAAATCTTCTATATAGAAATATGTACAACTACTTGATTTAACTATTGATCAAATAACAGATATTGTAATTGCGAAATATCTGATTTGAAAATAATACACTAATGAAAAATCTATCTCTAGTAGTGTTAACAAACTTTCTTGTATATTATTAGAAATAAAACATTTTGTTATTTATATTAAAAAAAATTCCTTTCCTTCCTCATCTAATTTTGAATGTGTCTCGTGAGTCAAGGCTACCACTAATGTCAATGTCAATGAAGTTTTTTTGCAAATAGAATTATTTGATATTTCAAATAGAGTCTACGACAAACTTGTAATTACTAAGAGAACAAACCAAATTAGTTTTTATCAGTTGATGTATTCTAACTGGCAACAAAAATCAATTAAATAGGAAATAATTATTATCTTTCTTTTTTTCTTTTTTTGTATGAAATCTAAAACATTACATTTATACATTAAACAATCGGTTCACTGGAAAGTCGACAATCAGAATTTCGAAATCAGAATTCGGACAGTATTAATGATTTTCCAGTGCTGCCTACATACTTCCGGGTTTCGACAATAACAAACTTTGTGTAACATTTTCATTCTCTGACATTCGTACCATGAAATAACATATGAAGTTTGTTATTGTTGAAATTCTGAAAGAATTTCGGCAGCACTGGAAAATCGTCAATACTGTTCAAATTCCGATTTCGAAATTCCATCTTCCCAAACAATCAGAGTGATTTTGAATGATCTACAATTGAATATCATTATCAGAATATTCCATCTAAAAGAAAACAATTGATAAGTTGTCTTCTTCACTACATTCGATAGATGTCAGACGTACAAGGTAGTATTATACAAATCAATATGCATCTCCTTCATCAATTGATCCATAAAACAACCAATATTAATAAAAATACAGTATGTATATGTATATGCATACATACATATTATCTAAGTTTACTATTTAACTTATTTCTAATTTTCAATTTATCTTATATTTCTCAAACTGACTCATATCAGATTTATTATTGTTTTGTTCTAAAAATACAATAATTCAATTCGAGTTTATCAATCAAATTTGAATGAGCTTTGAGTATCACTGTACTATTGCAATACACTAATGTGTACCTAGTGCTCTCTAGTTGAACAACAAGTATTATCTTGTATAACTGAAAATAATATTTTTAAAGATAAGAATAATGATAGAAGACTTTGTCGAATTAATATCAAAGGCCTTTATAATATGTTTCATTATTGATTATGTCAAAATAAGTCGTTATATCATTGATAATACTATGAATTGATAAAAATTCTTATAGACTGATATTTAAAATTCTTGTGGTGATTTTTCTTGTTTTTTTTTTATTTTTAAAAAATCAAGGATAGTATGGTAACTTTTATTATAGATGATGTTTTTTATTCTATAGACAATAATGAATAATGTAGATAAGGTTTGTTAACAAATAAAATACAATAATAATTTTTATCAATAGAAATATCTTTTTCTAGTTTTCTCAATGTTTTTATTGTGAAGGATATTATACTCGATGTTTTGGTGATCCAATATGTCGAATATGTCATGCATTTATATATCCACATGGAATAGATCAACAACAAGAACCTAATGGTTGCGAAGATGTATATTAAGAAATGCATATTTATATAACGGAATTTTTCATTTTTTTTTTCTTTTTGTTATTTTTTTTATAGAAAGGTGAAGCAGATGATTCAGGAAATGAAGACACTGATGATGGATATGCTTGTGCATCGGGAACAACTAAACAAACAAAAAAATCATTAACAACAACAAGTATAGATTCATCCATACAAGCAACAAATAATTCTGTTATTTCTGTAACATCAAATAATAGACGAAATGATTTATTAAATGAACTTTTACTTGAATTAACAGTACCAAATGTAATTTGGAATGATCATACATCTTATTTAAGTCAATTACCACCTGAAGTTATGTTAACTATAATGAAATGTATGGATGATTTAAGTATATATGCATTAGCTAAAGCATCAAATCGTTGGAATCAATTGATTAATTCAACTGTTGATTGGAAACAATTTATTCGTACACGTTGGCCACTTTTTCCATTATCAGACGATGATAATAGTGCAAATCTTAGTCGAATTTATGATCAATTGTAAGTCATACGATCATTTCATACTAGTTTATAAAACAATGATCTAATTCGTTCATTGACCAACAACAGTCATTCAATATTTACTTTCGTTTTTTTATTTATTCACAAACTCATAACAATGATTATTATCGAATATGAATTGAAAAGACGCCTCTTATTCACTTTATATTTATGTTAACAGAAGACTACTTAGTCTCAAGCCATACTTTTTTCTCACATGGTGTTAATTATGGTAGTAGAGAAATAAATAATGCGAGATAGGGGTCAAAAGATCATATAAGCATTACAAGATAAAAGAGAACGTGCTGTGTGTTCTACATCTAATCTCTAGATGTGATAAAAATTTCTATATTATTAGTTTAAAGAATGAGCAGAGATCATTCGTTGATAAATAGCTAGGGAGTGCACTACATCATATGTTTTATAATGTTTTGAGGTACATACAATTTTGATATGCAGAATTAGGATAATGAAGGTATTCTGGATAGACAAGTGGCATATTGAGTGAGTTTATTTAGTAATACAGAAAATTCATCCCATGATTATGTGAAAAAATCAACTCTAAAACAGTACTTTTGAATGTTCAGCCTTTTCTCTGTTGGAAATATCCATTGTAATTCAAAATATGATTAAGAAAAGACTCCTAAGAAGCTCAAGTAAAATGCGAATTTGAGATTTAGAATGCTAATAAACTGAAAGACTATTTCTAGTCGAATAA